GTTTTGCCTGCATGGCTCTCCTTTTATTTATCCAAATGGTTTGCTTTAGTTAAAATAGAAAAGAAAAACACATGCACACACATAAACACAAAATACACAATACACAAACAAATAGGCTACATTCACAAAAGTACATCATGGTTCTGTCCCTCAATCTATTTTAGAGAATACATTTACCACCACCAAGATGGCGTCTTTTCTAGAACAAGTTCTCTATTTCAAATGCAACGTCACCTTAAGGAATCTCCTATACATAGGTGTTTGAGATGTGTCTTCAAATAAACCCTATGTCGCTGCCTCTCGCCTGCATTCATTCACAAATAGAAGGCTGATTAGAAATCCTGTAATCAGTTTAACTTTATCGCCTTCCTTCAATCCCCCACTAACACATCCAGCCAGCCTCATTCAGGATTTGGTCACTTCCCCCGTCCCCCTCTGAACTCCCTCCCTTGTCTTTACTTGAAAAAGACACTCCCATGCCGTCATCGCCTCCCAGGCATTAATCTCTGTGGCTTTGCTCTGCCGGGTGTGGCCAGTCAGTGTGACAACTGTGTGAGCTGTCCGTGTTTAGTAATGTCCGGGTGCAGGAGGTTTGGGGCTGACTGTCATTAAAACACAGTTGTTTGTGATGGTTATATGGAGCAAAAAAGCCAGCTGACTGACACATAATGAGATTGTGTAGTTGTTGGTTGCTTGCAGGTGTCAATACTGTCGGACCCTATGACAGAGGAACAAGAGGTGCTGGATAATAGCAGCAGTAAAAGATGCACATAATGTGCTTTTTGCATTTGGGGATGCGGCCTACATTCAGGTTACCTTTGTGTAAGCCTGTTTATTTTTTACATAATGCTGAAAATTGTTCAGGTTTAGCCTACATTCAGAGAGGGCCAGCCAAGTTCATTAACCATGCCAAGTGATTATGGTGCACACGAATAATCTCCGGGCTGCTGCTGGGCCCCGAACGAAAATCAATCACCAATCACAATCTCTGCGCACATGCATGGTGACGGATGTACAGTCAGAGAGGATGGGATAAATATTATTGACCCACTGCTGCTTTCACGCTGTCCACCATCCTGCACTCCAGATGGGAAGATCATGATTCATTTATGCGGTTTACGTAGATAAGAGCTGTCAGAAATCATACTTCTCCCTGCTGTGTCTTTCATAACCAGACAGATGTGGCCCTCAATGTTTCTAGTTAACAGAGAGAGAGATGTGTTAGGGTCTGAAGTGGCTTTGTGTAACTATCTATATTAACCACATCTTGCAATGGGTCGTGAGTGACACTCATAACAGAAAGTAGGTCTTTATGTGGGCATCAGAACATTCAGATAAGTGTGTAGGAGTGCTGAAACTCTAAACTGGAGCACACAGTGAGCTCTGCAGCAGCACCCAGCGCCCCCACAGCAGTGTAGGAGAGAGAAAGTCTCATGTACCACTGCTCCCTATGACTCAGAAAAGCCTCACAAGTGTCTCTGCATCCCCAACTAAAGCATTTCTGCGTCCTTAAAAAGCCTACTGACATGGTTGATGTAACTGTTTGTCCATTAAATCCTGCTTTTGTTTGTGTGCGAGAGACAAGCTAGATGGATTTACAGAAAAGCGTTAGTTAGTTGGAGTACAAAGTAGGCAATGAATACCCTATCTGGGTGATTTTCATTTGTTATTATTGACTTTTTAAAACGCCTTGTTGATTCTTTTTAACTTTTCCCCCACATAACTTGACTTTAAACATCCATTACAAACACAAACACCAAAACAGAATAGTAAAACATGACACAAAACCATGGCCATTATTTTGAAATGAACTATTATAATGCAACTTTTGATTCTGTACAACCATTTTGCCTATGATCACAGAAATAAAGAACCATTGTGCATTCAACCAGCCACAGGTAATTAACGTTGTCTTCTTCTTCCTCTTGTCCTTGCAGATAACGTGAAGCAATCAGGAGGAAAGGTTCTAGTCCATTGTGAAGCAGGCATCTCTCGCTCACCTACCATCTGCATGGCCTACATCATGAGGACGCAGCAGCTGCGGTTGGATGCGGCCTTCGACATCATCAAGCAGCGCCGGGCAGTCATCTCACCCAACTTCAGTTTCATGGGTCAGCTGCTGCAGTTTGAATCAGAGGTCCTCTCAATGGCCCCTGCTCATGCCGCCACACCTGAACCTGCCACACCCTGCGCCCCAGAGTCCGCCTCCTTTTTCGCCAACGACTTCAACACCACTTTCAACACCAAAAACTTTGAGCCATCTGTGTTCACCCTCCCTACCTCTTGCCTGCAGTCCCCGGTCCACCACCAGTTCACACTGAGCCCAATAACGGCACTGCCTTAAAATGAACCATGACTGCTTGTATCTTACTTGAAAAAATAACAATTGATGCTCTCTGTGTGCCTCGTGTTGAAGCCAGCAGAGCAGATAGACAGAAACAGAAGCGTCAAGGTAATAGTATTCAGTTCATGGAACTAATATAAAAAAAAATGGGCTACAGACCTTGTTTACCTGTCCTCTGTACTTCTATGATGAAACAACACAGCACAGTGATATACTGCAATATACATGCCTTAGGTTGATATTGTGATTTATGCCTATTCACAAATACAGTCAGGCATTGAAACCTAATTTATTTGAAAAATTGTCTGTCTGATTTTTTTCAATAATGTGGATGTTAATATGTGTTTAATAAATGTTTTCACCATGAAAATTAAGTTGTTGTTATTCCAGCATTATGTTTAGTAGTTGATGTTTGACAACATCAAAGAGTAGTAAGAATAGTTTGTTTACATGGGCCTTATTATCCTTACTCGGGTTAAGATCTTGTTCCGGGTATGATGTTTACATGGAACATAATAAACTTAGTTTATCATTACCTGATTTCAAAAGGTTTCAAGTTTTCTGATCATCTTTGTGTCGTAGTTTCTCACCATCTCAGTCACTTCAAAAATCGTTATACTGTAAGGTTTCCATGCCACCAGTGGTGTAAGAAGTATTCAGAAACTTTACTTAAAGGAAACCTATCATGCTATATTTAAATGATATATTGTAGGGCCATACCTATATAAGGTATATTTATACGTTTCTGTTTTCGAAATACCAAACAGATCATGCATTTTAGCCATGCCTCATTTCGCTCTATGTGTTGTTTGCTGTCTACGGGTCTGATTCTGCTGACCACGCCCCCCTGCAGGAGAGGGGAGACGTGCTCTGATCAGCTGCTGGGCTGTCAGAAGAGGGGGAGAAAAAGAGATCTCCGTCCTCCGTGTTTTATTATATAGAGTCGTTATTCATTTGTTTTAAAGCTCAATAAATAACAAAGAAGACCTTTGACCGGCCCTTTTCTAATTTTGTCCGGAAGATTTCAACTTTAACGGACATCTTGACCGGCGAAACAAACTGAAACTGAAACTTTGCCGCACGGTCCCCTCGTTCCTTGGAAGAGGCGGAGAGGTGGGTGTTTGTCATCTGCTGGTGGACTAACCGGAGAGAATTACAGTGCTTGCCTCGACGGGGAGGGATTGCATTGCATTAAAGCAGCGGGAGCAAACGCTTGCCTCGGGGAGGGAGAAAGAAAGCCACAGCGGAGAATAAACAGAAGGGTAACCATGGTAACCAAGTCTTCTTCGCTGCTTTTGTGGCAGACGACAGCGCCAATTACAGGCCTGGCATATGTACTACAGCGTCTCCAGCACTTTCGAACGGCACTCCAGCACTCCTCCTGATTGGTGGAGTTGGCCCAATAGCCGTAGCGCCACTTTCCTGACGTCAGTAAAGTGTTCAAATCTGGATCAGTTTTTATCAGATCCGTTGCAGCCCCTTTTTTAGAGATTTGGGTATGGAGGAAAATAGAGAGGGTTGTGTTTTCTGACACTTGGTGAGTTCCCTGGAACACCGGGGACACATATTCATGTATAAAAGACGTACAAAAGTGAATTTTGCATGATAGGTCCCCTTTAAGTTTAAGTGCAATATTAAACTCCTGTATTCATCCGTTGATGAAAGGATGTGCTCAATTGAACTACTTTATACATTTCAATAGTTTCCTCTGAGAAATTGTGGGGTAAAAGTAGGCTGCAAAGTTGCATACAATTGAAATACTTAAAGTATCACATTTGTAGTGAAGTAAGTAAAGTAGGTTAATTTAGTTCCATGCACATCCCACCATGCTACTGCAGGTCCTGGTTACTGTCTGAGAGACCAGATGCACGTTTCTGAAAGCTGGATGTTTACAATCACAATATAACAGGGATATTACAAAAATCATAACCAGGACACTGGTGTGCTCACAAACACACTCAATAACACTTTTGGCATTAATTGCATTTGGGGATTAGAAGTTGATAGGACAGGCCCAAATGGGCAGCAGAAGAGACAACAGTGACACCTGCAGTGACTGAGATGGCCTTTATAAGTATATTGAAATTAGCAGCATTGCTCACATTCATAGTTCTGATTAGACTGCACTTATATCAGGTTATGTCAGGTTAGTGTTAACAAGTGCAACATAGGCAATATAAACTGATGAAAACACATGAGAATGAGAACAAATAAAAAAAAAACAGCAACAGGTTAGGCTTTTTTGTCCACATTTCCATATGAAACAGTTTGAAGTTGTACTTTCTAAAGAAAGAATAAAACATTAAGTTGGGGGGAAATCGGTAAACATAATTGTTTATCGGTCGATAAGACATGTTTCAATTTGAGTGCATCTTCATCATCGACTATTTTCTGTGTTTGGCGCCTAAGACAGACAGCTAGACTGTACCAGTGGAACAGATAGGTAGCTAGGTTAACAGCAAGCGTGTTCAACCTGTTATTTACATACAAAAACATCGCTTCAATGATTGACGATACTCAAATTACACATAATTTAATTGTCTATTGTCAGATTCTGTCTAAATTATAACACCATCACACGGCATTATATATGTTTGTATTACTACAACCCTGTTTTCACATAATGGTATCATCCATTTTATCCCGCCCCCGCCGCCATTTTCCATGTTATTCTCTTCTCCCTGTGTTTCACCAATTTTGAATGCATCAATTTCTTATAATTTGTTAAATTTGGGTTTTTAACTTCCCGGCTTCTCCAGCTAAGTGCGGAGGGAGCTTATCTCCGTAGTCAGCCAAGGAGCCGCCTTGTTCAGACAGCCATGTACATCAAACAGGTAAGATAACGACACCAGACTTGTGCGTGTTGCCGACTTTCACCAGGCTATCTTTACGTTATTCCAACAAACGGTTCTTATTGGGAAACCGGGGTTTTGCACACACTCTAACGTTAATATGATTGCATAGCTATGCTAACGCACACACACACTTAGGCTAAATAGCCAGCTTGCTAATGCTATCAAGTGCTATGTGGATTAATGTTGAGTTGAATTGCCCGTCCCACTTCCCGGGATGCTAAGCTAACGCTACATGCTAACCGGTGGGTTAGCGGATTTTCCGCTTTTCTATAACTTTTGCACCATACAATGTTGCAATCTTATTCTTTAAATGCAAATGTCTGCTTTGGAAACATCGTGGCTGTCAAGTGTATGGGTTATTCTGTTAGCAACCTTGCAAACACATTAATGTCCTGAATGAAAACTGGCTCATACAGTTGCCGACAGACTAGGCCCTGCTGGAAATCATCGTGCCCCGCTTATGATACTCTGATGCTCCGCTGAGCACATCCATGCTGAGTCTGACTTATATCGGAGGCACCAAGCTGTAATAAAGCTGCATTCATTAATAGTTCCTCGCTTACTACTAACGTCATGTCACATAACTTTTTCTAGCTGCAGTTTGTGTTTATTTTTGTCATAATTATGAGGGTGTTATCAGTGGGAGAAGTACTCTCTTGTACTCTTCTACTAATCTTGCACTTTAGTAAAAGTTGGAGACCAGAGTGTAGGACTACTCTTGTTACAAGTAAAAGTCCTGAATTCAAAATGTTACTCAAGTAAATGTATACAAGTATAAGCATCAAAATATCCTTAAATTACCAAAAGTGAAGTACTCAGTATGCAAATTGGCAAATTTCAGAAAAATGTATTATATTTTGTGATTATAATATTGATGCATTAAAGTGTTATCAAAGCTGGTAAATATGCAGCTAGTTTGATTACTTTGTATGCTGCAGGGTAGCTTGTAAATGTCCAAACTCCATGCAACAAAAAACAAATGAATGTGTTCTTTATATTTCACATTATTTATCCAAATGGGCAAAGTAACTAAAGATATTATATAAATGTAGTGGAGTAAAAGTACACTATTTACTATTTCTATGGAAAGAAAAGTAGATAGTGGCAACACATTGATGTACTCAAGTAAAGTAGACGTCTCTCAAAATTGAACTTGAGTACATGTAATTAGTTACTTCCATCTCTGCATAACTTTGTCTTGCCACAGTTTGTGGTTGATGTTGTCGTCAGTATGAGGCTGTCCTACTCACAGTGGTCTCTTGGTTCTTGTGCAGGTCATCATCCAGGGGTTCCGAAGTTACAGGGACCAGACTGTGGTGGACCCCTTCAGCCCAAAACACAATGTCATCGGTGAGTATGTGCACACCTCAACTTTTCTCTCATGTTGTTGTACTTTACCGTATTTAAAACAAATATGAAGTGTAAGGTGATGTACTCTGAATGAAGGCATTACTTTTAATAATAATATAAATCGGTGTGCCATGTCTCATGTTGGTGGCTGTGCACATTATGTCCCTATGTACTCATCTTATTTGTTCTTGTCTGTTTACAGTGGGAAGAAATGGATCAGGAAAAAGTAACTTTTTCTATGGTATGTCTTCCTTCATTATTTATACTATATACATCAGTCAAACATTATTCTATTATGTTGAGTTGTTTTTTGTTGTCTAAATCTGTGACTCGGCTGTGCTTTCTTAGCCATCCAGTTTGTGCTCAGTGATGAGTTCAGCCACCTGCGACCTGAACAGCGCCTGGCCCTGCTCCACGTAAGTTCGGGAAACTTTCAGTAACTCCTCACCCTGTGGTGGTGTACAAATGGCTTGTTAGCCATACTTACGCTGACAAAAGCTTGTGCAACTTCCTAATAACTGAAGGATTACAAAAAATATCTGATAGGATTAGTTGCATATTTGTTGAAATAATAAGTTTTGATGGAGAATGAAACACAGTGGGAAACATATTTTAACATACAAGGCTTATGAATAACATTTAATCATTATGTTTTTCCTCCCCTGTCACTGTAGGAGGGAACTGGTCCTCGTGTCATTTCGGCTTTTGTGGAGATTATATTTGACAACTCTGACAACCGGCTGCCGGTAGGAATTGCAAACATGTTATGTTGATCCTATTACTGTAATCTTAGACAAACCAATTTATTATTTCCAACCTGATACACTTGAAGTCCTTTCAGTAAGCCTCTCAAAGAATACCCATCTTCTGTGTGTATGTGATAAGTAATTGGTTGTTTTAAAAGTTGAAGCCTGTTTAAGCTAAAGCAAGAGGTGTACTGGTTTATTGGCATGTTGTCTGGATTAACCAATGTAAGATTAAATATGCGTACCATATTTCCAACTTTTAAACATATATGTAAGGCTTTAAGAGAGGCAACGTAAACCATTTAACATCGCGTTTGTACCAACAGTACAACTTATTGACCTCTCGTTTCATCAACATCTTTAGTCTAGGCTCCTAGTGGAAGTGGTGCATCATCACTATAATATGTTGAGTTCATACTGAACTGTTCCTAAATTGGTGACGATTGCTGTGTCCAGTGATTGTAGTCCCAGTGCCTCCAGTACACAGTGCTTATTATTCTGATGATGAAGGCCGGATGTTTGCACTTCTCTAGAAATCCAAAGCCTGGTAATACTGTGACATAACCAGTCAGTTCTGCAGATGTGTGTGATTGTCCTCTTCAACTGTGATGCCTGTCTCTCCCCTCAGATCGACAAAGAGGAAGTCTCCCTCCGGCGTGTCATTGGCGCAAAGAAGGACCAGTACTTCTTAGACAAGAAGATGGTGACGTAAGTATTGCAGGGGATGGACGGTACATTTTTCCACAGGAAATAACAACCCTATGAATTCATGTTATCACTTGTTTGATTGTTATTGTTGCAGTAAGAACGACGTCATGAACCTTCTGGAGAGTGCCGGCTTCTCTCGCAGCAACCCCTACTACATCGTCAAGCAGGGAAAGGTGAGAGAGGAGTGGGTGGGCTAAACTTCACACAAGACAAACGTTTCGTTTTGGCTGTTGTGTAATGCATTGCAGTATTTAAGCAGGGCAGTAAAAAGAGTGCCAACTGTGTTTAACTGAATAGCTTGGCCTGTTCAAAATCTGTTGATTTAAAGATTAGTGTCAAAAATGAGGAAATCGGCTCAAAAGTATCAAGAATTAAAAAATGCCATGCAAGAAAGTCTTGGACCTAAATTTCACAGAAGTGTTTTTCACCTCATGCATCATTTCAATGTTTTAATACAGATCAACCAAATGGCCACAGCTCCTGACTCCCAGCGTCTGAAGCTTCTGAGAGAGGTGGCGGGAACACGAGTGTACGATGAGCGCAAAGAGGAGAGTATTTCTCTCATGAAGGAGACAGGTAATTATTTTCTTTAACATCATTGTCTCATAGATTGCCATTGTTATTGTTCCAGCTATTGGTAGTCAATACCTGTACCATTGAAATGTCACTCTTTTTCATACCGAATTTGATCCCACTATATAAAACAGAAACAAAACATCAATCCCAGGTCCTTACAAATACTCCTTTGTTAAATTTTCATACAGTTTTTTTAAATGATGTATAACTCCCTTTTTTCTTATTGATGTGGAAACATTACATTTTTTATTAAAAAAGGTTTTCGCCAAAAACTTGTTCTTGTAAACAGATCACTATAGGCAGGGGTGCACATAACAGGTACGCCAGAGTTCCCGTTAGAATATTTTTTTGCCGGTCAACATGTCCGTTAAAGTTGAAATCTTCCGGACAAAATTAGATAAGTGCCGGTTAAAGGTCTTCTTTGTTATTTATTGAGCTTTAAAACAAATTGATATGATTCGACATTAAACAAACTAATTATAGTAGATTAACTACATTATTCAAAAGTGTACAGTAATTTACAAAAACGCGGGAATAATAAACGGAGCGCTCTCTCCTTCTCCTGACAGCCCGTCAGTATCATGCAGCTCGCGGATCCAGTAATGAGTGACCCGACAGTAAAACTAAACATATCTATAACTAGTTTAGGTAGTTTGAGAGGTAATTAAAATAGCTACGTGTGATTTTCTAACCTGAAGTGTGTTTTGCTCTGCTCGCCGCTGCAGGGGATCATGCAGAGCTGCGTGTCGACTCGTCAGCAGCAGCCGATCTCTCTCTCCTGTCAGATTAGACTTTACTCGCATTTATGTCCATATCGATCAGATCTAGCTAGTTCTAGCTAATGATATGACTACCTGCTTGTTAAAAGACACCTAAACAATAAGCGTCGCTATGCAACCGGATGAGGCCACAAAGTATAGCGCAGCATTATGCATTTGTTTACATGCCCACCGGAACCCCGAGGCATTACCAACAGATCAACGCACAATCAACCCATACAGGACATCTCTTTCTCCACATTAAGTGTTAGACATTAGAATTGACAATTTTTGTCTGTCACATACTCTTTTGTCTGTCACATACTATTCTTGTCTGTCACATAAGTGGCGCAACTGATGCGGTATTGCGCTAAGGGAAAATTATTTTGACCGGACATTTTGACCGGAGAGATTTAGATTTGCCGGACTTCAGCATATTTTACCGGTCATTGTCCGGTAATTACCGGCTAACGGGAACTCTGAGGTACGCATGCGCGGCAACAATCTGAAATGCGTACCGTCACATGTGTCACAAAGCGCATTTGCGTACCGACGTACATGTGAAGCTTTTCCAGAAGGCGGTTAGAGCCCCGGACGACAGAGTCGGTCTCCGTGTGCACAGACAGGGCTGCTGTTAACGTCGGTCTGTACAGCAGCCCTGCGCTAAAACAGCTGATCACAACGTGCACACTCTGTAGCTCCGAAGCTCTGTACTCCACTACCACCCCCCCCCCTCCCCGTTGACAATCACCCAGAAGTTGGAGTACCAAACACTGACTCCAGGTACTCATCTGAGTACCTCACTGAGAAAGTTGTGTGCACCCCTGACTATAGGGTTATAATTTACCTTGGCTCAGTGCCAAATTTGCGTAACTACAGCTTGAACATGTCATTATAAATCAAAGGAATCATCTTTACTGGCTGCTAACAGCTAACGTTGACTAGCTCTTCTCCTACAGACTTGTGTAGCATTGTTAGAAAAAAAAAACAAAGTCTACTTGACCAGTAGATTATGATTTAATGGCATCCTTGTGGATTTTATTAATACAGGATGCTGTTAGTCTAGAGTCCCCTGGTATTGTAGAAAACAGTTTTAAGAATTAAAAAAAATTATGACAAAACAATGACATCAAAATAAAACCCAGTCCCAATTAATAGAGTATTACATGTTTAAAAAACAATCTGATGTGTTCTTCAGAGGGGAAGCGAGAGAAAATCAATGAGCTGTTGAAGTACATCGAGGAGCGTCTGCACACCCTGGAGGATGAGAAGGAGGAGCTGGCTCAGTACCAGAAGTGGGACAAGATGAGAAGAGCCCTTGAGTACACCATCTACAACCAGGAGCTGAACGAGACCCGCGCCAAGCTGGACGAGGTAACCAACTCAAGAGAAACAACTACATTCTTTGTATATACAAATAACAGTTTGTGGTTGTAAACATTTGTGTTGATGCCAAGGTAGGAAATTATCACTGCCCATTCTTCAGAATATTACATATACACAAAATAATACAGAAAGTACATTTTAGTTTATCAGCCTTTTTGATGTCAGGAATAACGTTGTTTTAAAGTAAAAAATTATATAAAAGATCTAAACAATGAGTGTAAGAATCGACCAATCTGTGTGCACAAATACAATTAGTTCTGTCCTCTGTTGTGTACAGTTTCAAAACCAAAACCTTTTTGTCCTCTTTCTCCAAAGCTGTCCAGCAAGAGAGAGACCTGTGGAGACAAATCCAGACAGCTGCGTGATGCTCAGCAAGATGCCCGCGACAAAGTAGAGGTAAGGAGTTCAAATAAATATTGTTACTAACACTGCAGCATGATGGTAACGTCTATAAAAGAGGATTTGCAATATTTAGTGATTTACTCAAAATCATAAGGTCAAACTTCATATTTTTAGCATCCATAAAATCAATTTATTCATCATTTTAAATCAAAACAATCACTTAAGTAAGTTGTTTTTATTCTCCTTTTGAATTGAATCTCACAGCCTTTTTTCCCTCTGGCTCCCTTCCTGTAGGAGACGGAGCGTGTGGTGCGAGAGCTGAAGTCCAAGATCTCTGCCGGGAAGGAGGAGCGTGAGCAGCTGGGGGCCGAGCGCCAGGAGCAGATCAAGCAGAGGACCAAACTGGAGCTGAAGACCAAGGACCTGCAGGACGAGCTGGCAGGCAACAGCGAACAGAGGGTACGGAAGCCTCCCATCTGCGTCACTCTGCACACGTGACGCTGCACCAGCAACACCCCCCCCCCCTTCCCCCCCCCCCCCCTTCCCCTGCACCATCATCGTATGTAGAGGACAGTAGTCTCCTTCTCATTTTACAACCCCTTACTCATCCTTGTGGGTCAAAAAATCGTAAAAAAAAGTTCAGTTTGACTTAATGCATGATTTATTAACAAAACTCTTCCTGGTGAATTTCCTTTGCGGTTAACATCATCAATTCATCAGCTAATCATAAAGCATGTAAAGAGTTGACAGTTTTAGTACTGAATCCTTCAAAAGAACGTTTGCCGGTCTAATAGAGGGGAAAATTGAGAACCAAAACAGAGGAAGCTCCAGCCTGTGTACGTAACGTTTGCCATCAGCTCCACTTTACATCATCCCTGGCAAGAGGCTGTGTGTACAGAGCTGGCATGAACCACTCTCCGTATGGCCCTGTGTTCCGTGTGTTTGTGTTTGTGTGTACGTGTGTACGTGTGCACGTGTGAGTATGAAGACGATAATCATGCATAAGGGCTTTATTGGCGCAGTCTGTGTGTGACCCATGATGGGTCCCGGGCAGCATGCGGGCTGCTGGCTGGATGAAGCCCACCTGGCTATGGCTGGCAGAGCAGCAGCCAAAAGCTTCTGTAGCAAAATGCAGAGCAAGGGAAGCAGATCTGCGTCACTAGATGTGTCTGAGGCGCTTTTGGGGAAAGTAGAGGTTTCATACCTGTGAGATGAAACCCCCTGTCCCAGCCCATTGTTATCTAAAGATGGATTTTTCCTAATTGGTTCACATTTTTTTCAAAAATAATTATGTCTACCCCTCACTCTGCGTTCCAACCTCTTATTATATTTGAATGTTGCATGTGCGCAATGTAGGTTGTAATTGAATGTGAATTTTGAAGCTATGTCCATTCATCATTATATATTTACTATAATAAATGCATGTCACTAACACTCAATCTACACATTGGATACACACACTTAACCCAATATGAATATTGCGTAGGAGCAGCATGCGATGTTTCTTCAAATGTTTTATATTTATTTTATTTTAGAAATATGTGTAGAACCAATTTTTCGTGCAGAAACCTCACACTTTACATTTTGGAGCTAGATACACTGGCAGTAGAAAACTAAGTCTATAGATAAAATATTTAAATAAATACTTCCCCTTAAATTCCGTTCCTGCTCTTTCAGAAACGCCTGCTGAAGGAGCGTCAGAAGCTTCTGGAGAAAATCGAGGAGAAGCAAAATGAGTTGCAGGAGACTGAACCCAAATTCAACATGGTGAAGGAGAAAGAGGAGCGGGGCATATCCAGGTAGGGATGACGCACTCTCAGCCACGGCTCCTCAAGCGGCCGATGGTCAGGCATAACGCCATGAGTCAGTCACTCTTGAAAACATTTGAATATCAAGAGACCGAGAGGTACATGAGATATTTATAAATTCTCCTGCAAAGTAGTTTGATGCAAAAGTGTGACGAACATTTCTTATCCAGAGTGGGTGATGAGAAGAAAATCTATTAACATTATATTATTGACCAAATACTCCAATATTGATATTGCAACAATATTGTGCAGTGGACTTTTAAGCTTTCACAAACTATTTAATCAATAATAATTTGGAAATAATCATAATCAATGTTGATTTAAATTTAAAGGGGACCTAATATGCAAAATGCACTTTTTGATGTCTTTCATACATAAATATGTGTCCCCGGTGTGTCAGGGAACTCACAAAGTGTCAGAAAACAAAACCCTCTCTCTTTTCCTCCGTACCCACATCTCAAAAAGAAAAGAAAAGGGGGGGGTGCTAACAAGCAGATCCAGAATTTTCACTCCTATAATGTCATTGGCGACATCCGGCCGACGTGACACGTCCCAACCTATCGTCTCCGTATACAGTCGCAGCTGTGTGTCTGTGTATTCAGCAGGATGTCTGCTGGAGGCTTAGAGTAAAGTTGTTATATATATATATATATATAAATATATAATGGCACTGTTCTAGCGTTAAACACTTAAGAAAGAACTTGTCAAGCTATGTGCTGCATCAGAAACCATGCATGGCGTGTTTTGAGAGTAATATGCTGTGTGTTTACATTAGCAAGCATGCTAACACTCACAGCTAACCATGGAGCTAACGCTGTAGGCTACTGGAGAGAATATGTGTAACGTAATGTCCTTGTGGTAAACCCTGCGAGAGAGAAAGGTTTGAGCTCCATACTGTTTCAGAAATAAAGCTTGAAGTGGTTGGGAACATAACATGGCATTTAATCACCGCAGCGTTTAGCTGAGTTTCTCCCGGTAGAAATCTCTCTCTAGCAGGGAAAAGCTGCGTGACGCTACAAAGGGGCGTGGCTAGCAGCAGACATTCCATTTAAAGCAGAATCAGCCTGTTTGGAACAGGGCTGCAAAAGAGGGGTATGAGCAGTATGACGCATGGCTACAATGGGTGATCCGTTTGGTATTTTAAGCAAAAAACTTCACAGACATGTTTTGTATAGGTATGGCCCTACAATATATTTTTCCAATATAGCATAATAGGTCCACTTTAAGGCAAATAATAGAACTTCTAGAACATTCAAGTAAATTCTGAAAATGAGATGACTTTACTCTAATGCAGCCTTTAAAACCAGAAATAGACAAACCTATGAAATCCAAAATCCATGGTATTTACTCTTGTATCACACCCTTTTCAAAACCCGGCTTCTAGTGTGTCGATTATATTCAGCACATTTTATTCAGGCGTCGCTGTGTTACATGTCTGTGAATTAATGTATAACTGTTGGAAAAGGTTGTTGACTTTGAACATCTGCATGCACAGTTTGTTAGGAAATGAATAGATGGCTCCATTGTGAACTTGTGATTTAGTTAAAAAATGTTTTACTATCTTTGTGTTGCCCTGCAGACTGGCCCAGGCGACCCAGGAGAGGACAGACCTGTACGCCAAGCAGGGCCGAGGCAGCCAGTTCACCTCCAAGGAGGAGAGGGACAAGTGGATCAAGAAGGAGCTGAAGTCTCTGGACCAGGCCATCAACGACAAAAAGAGGCAGATCGCAGCCATCAACAAAGACCTGGAGGACACGGAGACCAACAAGGAGAAGAACCTCGAGCAGTACACTGTATGTTCTTTTTTTCGAAAGACAATTACAAAAAGATACCCTATGATATGGTGGGGGCATTTTGTGTTCATCCCTCTGTACAATTCTTATAAATGGGATATCTTAAGAATGCTCAGAGAATTTCTTTAAATTGGAGATGAACTGATACAAATGTTGTGGTCACGGATCAATGTCACTGTGACCCTACAAAATGCATTTAACCATAAATCCAGTATTCTTTTGCCAATTAATACAATGTCCCACAACTGTAACACTATAAAATGAAGAAGTGAGCAACATTTTGATCAACATGTATGTAAACTGCAACTGGTTGGCATACAACTGTGAGGTGGTAACGGTTTTAATTTGAAGTTAATGCACATTGTCTCCTTTTTTTTATTTTTAAGGAACATTTTAATGCTACTTATTAATCTTTTTTTTCCCTAAACTCTCTGAACAACTTTCATCTTTGTGTCTTTAGAAACTCGATCAAGATCTTAATGAGGTGAAGACCCGCGTTGAGGAACTGGACAAAAAATATTACGAGGTGAAGAACAGGAAGGATGAGCTGCAGAGCGAAAGAAAGTAAGAACTTCACCCCCATCTTTCTGTTCGACCTCACATCCTGAGATGCATTTAAAGCCAAGCCTTGTCTTGTACTCATGCTTTTTTAATATGTTTGGGTGCAGTGACACAGGGCATAGCATCACTTGGTGTACATTTGTCTTTAAATGAGTCATGGCTGCGTCTGAAGCTGAGAGTTTGAATTATTCACCCTTCCTTTAAGCCAATATGTGGGTTCTGCTTGGCAACCTTTAGTTACATAGCAGAGTATTGTCTGCTGTAAATGTCATCAAGCCTTCTCTGTGCAGTTAAACAATTAGGGTTATTTATAAAACAGAGGATGATACCTCAGGCTGCGAGACGCCTTTCTGCTTTTAAAAAGTCCTCCAGGGTGGATGATGATGTTTCAGAGTGAGAATCTGCCCCAGACAGCTGCTTCCTGAAACACGACAAACTGAGTGTCTCCATTCAAGTCTCCAACTATTCGTTTAGAGCAGGGGTTTTCAAAGTGTGGGAAGGTGAGCCTCCCCTCAGAGAACATAACAGCCGCGCCCCCCCTCCCAATTATTATTGCTATTATTATTATTGTTGTTGTTGTTGCTATAATGCAGGGGCATTCAATTGCATTTCAAAGAGGTCCAGTAAGAGAACATGTCATTAAATGCTCTGTTTTCGCTGTCTACCTTTCTCTTTTTTGAGCACGCCATTTGAAGTTACTCCGGCTGTTTCTCTCTTCTTGTCTCGTTTCTGTGTGTGTGTTTGAATCTACCGTGCTTACTCACTGACTGCACCGATTTGATTGGCTGAGTAGCGTCACCTCCTTAAAATATTAAACAATAACTTTTTTAAACCTTTTAATCTTTATGTTTAAAAAAAAAGTTTTACATTTATTTTTCACATTTTCAACATCGTGGATAAATCCTTATATGCTCCTGGCAACACGCTGAATGTCAACTTTGCCTCCTTATTACACTCACCCCTACTTTAGTGGGAACAATGAGTCTGCGTCTTTGATGCGCACAGGCGGACGATGCGGGGATGCAATGTAGACCGGAATAAACGCAGATCATCCTCTGGCTGCAGCCTTGACCGGTACTTGCTTTTGATCAAAGTCAATGCGGAAAACCTGTATTCACACAGGTAGGTGGAGGCAGGGGCGGACTGGGACTAAAGATCTGCCCTGGAATCTCACCCAGCCCAGCCCACACAAATTGGTAGAGCACGCTAGTGAACTGTCCGCTGAACAGACCTCTGTCGCCTGTCAGCGCATCTTAAATGATGCCGTTTAAAAACATCAAAAATAAAGGGCGGTGCCGGCCGTCAACGGCCCGCTGACGACCGGCCGTTCTGTGATTCTCCAGAATCATGTGATACACACAGATGGCCAGTCCGCTCCTGGGTGGAGGTGAAGGGAATGAGCACTTTTACAGCCTTTTTGGCGAGGTGGGGGAACTCGGTCTCCACAGACAGCCAAAGGTGTGCAAGTGACACTTTACTCGTCTTTTTCTCGTTATTTTTTTCTCGCGCTGCGCCTCCCCTGAAGCTCTCTGGCGCCCCCCCAGGGAGGCGCGCCTCACACTTTGAAAACCGCTGGTTTAGACGACACGCTCAAGGAAAAATGTGTTTTTTAATTTAAGTTTAATAACATATGTTTGGACCTTTTTTTTTTAAATTTAAAATCCAATAAACAAATAACAGGTGCTCGGTAGCAAATGAAACAGATTTCATGAATATGTTTGCGTTTGTCTCATTTTGAATTCACTCTCCAGTTCGCTGTGATCCATTGTGTAGGTGTGCCGGTGAAAAGGCAGCATAATGACCGCTTTGATATCACAACATGCAGAACCCACAGCTGCAAGCCTCATCTCAAAATATCAACAAATGACAAAAGCATTACCATAATAAAAACAAGAGGGGAACTATTTTGGCATTTGTATTGTTTGTAATTATTTTAAATGTGATTATTTAGCTAGAATAAGGCACCTAATATTTCACCTTATGCTGCATACATGCATGTAACAAATCTACATTATTATTATTTACATAAAAATATGTCCTTATTTTTACCTACAGTGTCATATTTATAAGTGTTTTTATCACGGACTGCCTTTCTCTTCTGTTGGTACCATGGCTGCATTGAGTTTTGGGTCTTGTGACATAAGTGTAACCGTGTGTGATGTCTGTGTCCAGCTACCTGTGGCGGGAGGAGAACGCAGAGCAGCAGGCCCTGGCCGCCAAACGAGAAGAGCTGGAGAAGAAGCAGCAGCTCCTCCGAGCGGCCACCGGCAAGGTACCGTGTCTCTGCACGAGGCTGCATGATTATTGACTTGCTTAAGCGCTACAGGGTTCCTGATGCTTCCTTCCTTCCAAAAGTGAAAGATGTCTCTGTGTTGTGTGAGACCGAGAACAGCGAAGTGGACAATACTTATCAGAGGATTCAAATTTAAGACACATGGTAAATAAATAATAGGACACACACTTACCTGCCTTTTTCAGGAAGGCAATACTTGTCAGATGTAGACCTGCCACGCCACACATATTATTAAACCATCATACATTTGCTTACCAGCCAGAATACTGCAAGAGAGGAAATGTGGAAATAAAACTAAATCCAACCCCAAGTGAGAAAGTGCCTCTCTCTCCGTTTGAGCCCACCTGAACACAGCAGAGGACTCACTTTGTGACTCAGCCAGTTGTCAGGACAGGTTTATCAAGTGGAATCATTCAGCTGCCCCGCCAATGGCACCTTATCATAGCTATCTAAATCCACACATGACTCACTCCCTGCTGCCGCATCCAGTAACCGCCGGTCGTTTCTTCTGGGCAGATGCATCAATCAAATATCACTTCTAACTAATGTCTGCAGAGATGAAAGGAGGCCGTTTGTAGCTTCATGGACAAATGTCCTGCGTTTATTTTTGCTTTCATCGGCCCGGCTGACTCATCCTCTCGGAACAGAACGGACTCTATCCATTCTTGTTTTTTACCTGTTATGTTTATACTGTACAGTTTAATAATGAAGCACAATATTAGGAAAATACAGAGATCTCTTTCTGTTTTTGAGCTACGGTATATTTGAATTTCCCCCAGAATGCAGCTTAGGTTTTATATGTTCTTCACAGCACAGTGTGGGATCTGTTATAAATGTTTTTCTTTAGAGAAGAGATCATGGCTCTAGTTGTAATGAGAACATTTAAAATAGGATTTAAAATATGTTTTTATATTGTGTTCATTTTAACATCGATATCAATTCAATATTTTTTATATATTATTGTTAAGGTTATTTAGAATTCATTATCTCTCTCCTTCCCCTCTGCTCCTCCAGTCTATTCTGAACGGCAGTGACAGCATCAACAAAGTCCTTGAGCATTTCCGTCGCAAGGGTATCAACCAGCATGTCATCAGTGGTTACCATGGCATCGTCATGAATAACTTTGAGTGTGAGCCCGCCTTTTATACCTGTGTCGAGGTGACTGCTGGAACCAGGTGAGCCAGGTTAACTACATTTTAATGGCTTGCTCATTGTTATTTCCAGTAATAAATATCCCCATCAAACAAAGTGTACTCCTAATAAGCTCTGATTTTGTACATTTTGTACATTGAATGCTTCCGCAGAGATTTGTTGATTGTTTACAACGATGCAGCCTTGATTTTTTGTTTTAATCTTAGATGGCCGTCTACGTGCTCTCTTGTTTTCCAGACTGTTCTATCACATTGTGGAGACTGACGAGGTCAGCACCAAAATACTGATGGAGTTCAACAAAATGAACCTGCCTGGAGAAGTCACATTCCTGCCCCTGACCAAGCTGGACGTCAGGGACACCGCCTACCCAGAGACAAACGTAAGAACATATCAAAGTTACATCTGGTACTGTAGGCATTCAATTTGGACCGTGACTACAAATATTCATAATTAAACAATCAAGGTTAAAGATACAGCAGTCATGTATGTTAAATATATGCCAACTGAAGGTGAAACAAGACGTGGTGTGTGGTATCTGCCACTGTGTTCATACCAACGTGTTTCTGCCCCATAAGGATGCTATTCCCATGATCAGCAAGCTGCGCTACAGCAACACCTTCGACAAGGCCTTCAAGCACGTGTTCGGGAAGACTCTGATCTGTCGCAGCATGGAAGTCTCCACCCAGCTGGCCAGAGCCTTCACCATGGACTGTATCACTCTGGAGGGTAAGCTGACATGCAATACACAGTACTTCAAGCATATAAGTAAGACGGCAGCTCTAAAAGAAATTGTCTCTATCTGCAATAAGCTGTTAAAAGATATAGGTAGGTATTAGCACGAAAGAGTTATCACCTTGGGATTTTGTAACTTTGGGTATCAGTAATATGTCAAAAAACGTCGCTAATACTTCTGTTTGTACTCCGTAATGGGCCAATCCTATTCTGTAAAACCTCCTCTCCAAAAGCCACATGTGCAAATACAGCCTGTAGGACAAGTATGAGCTATCGACCCGGTCTGAATCAAACTCCATGTTCAATTGAAACTGTATCAATATATTCTTACACACAGATTTAAAAATGCCCATAATCAAGACATTTGACTTGCCTTTGGTACACTGACGAGACCTTGGTTCAGTTTTTTAGGACTAGACGTCATTGTATTTACAGTGCTCTAGTCCATCTCTTATATGTTGTACATTGTGTTGCGACCTTCCAGGTGACCAGGTGAGTCACCGCGGAGCTCTGACCGGAGGCTACTACGACACCAGGAAGTCTCGCCTGGAGCTGCAGAAAGACATGAGGAAGGCCGAGGAGGAGCTGGGGGAGCTGGAGGCCAAGCTCAACGAGAACCTGCGCAGGAACATCGAACATATCCTTTCAATTATAGCTCGTCCACATTATGTTACATCATTAATGCCAGCAGCAAGATCAGAGCGTTATGTTTTTAAGTTTATTTTAAGGACGGCATGCAGTAAAAGGCCAGCTTTAACTTGATGGTGTCTGGAACACACAGAAATAAAAGGTGTGATAAACCGTAGGCACGTGTGATATTGGCATCCTGCACTCGGCCTTGGAGAAATGGAAGAGGAAGTATCATAGTCGTGAACAGTCAATATATACCAAGTGTGTTAAAAATATATATCTGTCTTTAAAAAAACATCCTTCACACTGTCATCTTTTGGTTATAAAGATGGTTTAATATACATGTACCTTTTTAAGAGCTCTTTTGAAATAATGTACAACACCCCTTAGTGCATTCTTCACTGAATTAGTGCAAGCCTCTATTTTTAAATGTGGATTTAATCCATCTCTGTTGTGTAGCAACTTCTGTTAGCAGGAGCCTGGTGCAGCGAGAGCAGGGTTAGAGAGGTCAAGAGGGATTAGTGTAAGTCGGGACATATCGGCCAGAGCCATGACTCACTTCTGGAGGGCCGATAAAACGCAAAAACAGGCGGATCGGAGGGGATTTAGGTCTGCATGTACCCTATGTTTATGGATATGGTCACTTCGGCCCCGGTATGATTATGTGTGTGTGAACACCTGTGTAGTTTCTCACCCGCAGACAGCACTGCGTACATGTTAATGTGCGCACCTGGTGATTACGTATGTGTGCGAGTAGGCAGTGGATGACTGAGCCCATGGCATGGCGCTAGTCCTTCACTCCTGCAGCGCTGAGTCAGAGAACAGATCAATTATTTAAAAGCCGCTTGTTGTTTACATCCCCACCTCTGCTCTGTCGATACGCATGAGAGTACGCTGATGCACCTCACTAATCCCCTTTTTTAAGGTTGTTCTTTCGTTGTTCCTTCAGACCCACATTGCTGAGTGCTCATAACTCTTATAAAACAGGTTTATTTCAAATAATCCATTTGATATGTTATTCATGAAGTTGAAGTGGTCATCCCAGAGATGAATGCCTTTTTTTTTCTTTATTTATAAATACGTAAATGAATTCAGGTGGATTAGTGACCTGATTTCAGCTGTTCCCATTCATGAACGTGATCGGATGACCTTACCTTTCATCTTCTCTGGGCAGCTCCTTCAGTAGCTCCTTTTAGATCGGAGGATTGATTGGCCTCAGTGTTTATTGAGTCCTGTTCAACCTAAAGGCCCATAATGTAGTCCCAGCGATCGATGAGCCCGTCTGCTCAATTAGAATAATTAAGTGACGTTCTTAATCCTCTGCCTTGACATCAACGGTCACAGTCTTCCGTCTGAAGGTAAATCGAGTTATCGGAGCACAAGCTACAAGCTAGCTGCCATGTTACCATATATTCTCCAATGACTACAAAACATCTCTTTGTTGTAGGGCTGCTCGATTATGGCAAAAATCATAATCTCGATTATTTGGGTCAATAATTGATATCACGATTATTAAAAACGATTATCCATTTACTTTGAAAACATCAATTTATTGGAGAAAAAAAATGTGAACAGTATGTTTTTTAACAGTTGATTAACCTGAACTTTAAGTATAATTCAACTGAAAAACCAAAACCAAAAAAATCTATTTAAAAAAAAAAAAAGTAATAATAAAAAAATAATCGTTTTATTTCGATTACGTTGTTTTCGTAATCGTTGCAAGCCATAATCGTAATCGCGATTAAAATACGATTAATTGGGCAGCCCAATTTGTTGTAGTTTTTTGTTCTTTCTTTAGTTTATAATGCATTATTCCTGAAGGAAGGACAATATGCTGTTTGAGCAGTGCAAGTCTTCGAAAAGACAGTTGAAAAGTGCCTAATTTTTCACACATATTTAGAATTATATATTTTGTTTTCTATAATGTGATTTTATTTTATAATGTTTCTCTTGTCTAAATACAACAAAGTGTTTCTGAAAAGTTTTTTAAACATTTTCCATTCAGTTGTTTTAAGGAGTTTTTTCTTTTCTTATAATGTCGGGAAGGTTGTAGAGTCTCTTGAGACGGATTGTGATGTGGGTTATACAACTATAATTGACTCAACTCACACTTCTAGGCTTTGCAACACAGACGATTTTAGCAGCTGTTGTCTGTAGACATTGGCTCACATAAAGTTGGAAAAACTATACGTAGAATAAAGGCTGTACTGAGAGGAAAAGCTAATTTGGTTAAACATTGGCTCATACTTCCTTAATCGCTGCCTTCACGTATCAACAATGAGATCGACCAGCTGATGAACCAGATGCAGCAGATCGAGACTCAGCAGAGGAAGTTTAAGGCGTCCAGAGACAGTATTCTGTCTGAGATGAAGATGCTAAAGGAGAAGAGGCAGCAGTCAGAGAAGACCTTCATGCCCAAGGTGATCATATAATGAAGTTGTTACAATATTTTAGTTTAAACCTGCATACAAGCCCAGAGTTAAAGGTGATTAAGAACTCCTGACTGTCTGTGCTCTCCACTGATATGCGACTCTTTCTTCCTCTGTAGCAACGCAGCCTGCAGAGTCTGGAGGCCAGCCTCCACGCCATGGAGTCCACCAGGGAGTCACTGAAGGCCGAGCTCGGCACAGACCTGCTCTCTCAGCTCAGCCTGGACGACCAGAGGCGCGTGGATGCCCTCAACGACGAGATCCGCCAGCTTCAGCAGGTCAGCGGCAGCACTATACAGAGGATTACATGGATTTCTGTCTCTGCTTTTGCCTTGTAATGTGGACATTTAAGAAAATGTTGTGAAGCAAACTCAAAAGAATAAAATATGCTTCTCAAGTATATAATGATTTTTATTAGTTATATTATTATATTTTATTATAAGATAGACTCAGCGATCATTTGGATCAGTACTGTTACGGAAACGTCTACACAGCAGCGTTAAAAAAATCTTGGAGGTGGGCGTATCTGAAGCTTGGGGATTTTTTGCGAACAACCAATCACATGAATCTCCCGCCCGCGACATACGAAGCAAAAAAGCCCGAAGTAAACTGGATATAAACTCCCCAAAACAGGCGAAAACATACCACTGTCTCTGCCACCTCCCTCCATGCTTGGCTCCTCCGGTTTATATCCCGGTAGGTAAATAGGGACTGGTCATAAAGCACCGGGTGATTGATTCGCTACCGCTAATTTCTCCTCCATTTTTTGGAATATGAGGAAATGACCTGCGGTATGTCTCTCCCAGCATACACGCCGTTTGATTGGCTAGAGCTTGAACTGTCAGATTTGCGTACACAGGATTTGATTGGCTGATGCTTCCACCTCAGCTTCAAAAGTTGAACATTGTTCAACTTTGAATCTTGAAAATCCTGAAAATCTCCGCTCGCCTGCCCACAATGCATTTCGGCGAAAAGTGAGGGAAAGTGACGTCACCCCATTCAAAGTGAATGGGCAGAAGCGTTTCAAGATTTTTTTTAACGCTGCTGTGTAGACGTTCCGTTATGCTGAAAAGGCTGATGCACACACATCTGTGCCTATATGTCGTTCGGAGAAAACGCAAGTTACCTACATGTTCCTCAGTCCTCTCCTACTCCGCCTCCTGCCTGTGTTCACATGACCTGAGTGAGGTGAGAGGAGCAGACAGCATCTGTGTGTGGGAGGGTCCTGTGATCCAGCGTCGTCGTCCCCCTCTCTCTTACTGCCAGCTGCTCTCAGCTCTCCCCTCAGCGAACCTCAGCCAGTCTCACTTTAGTTGCGCAACAACTGCGCCCCCGCAGCATGGAGCCTTTCATGTTTGCTTTTACACTAATCGCTGTTGTCAAATGATAGTGCTCGCAACATAACACTATGTTGGGAGGTATTGTTGATAGAGCATTAGCCTAGGCTAAAGTTGTTGCACAACGTAAGGTGTTTGTGTACTTTTTGGACAAAAATATATGTATGAGTATCCTCATGATATATGCAATGGTGGAATAAATATGTAGGTCTTTTAGTTATGTAGAAGTACTAAAACAACACTGTAGAAATACTGTGTTTCACAGAGCAAGAGAAAACTAAGATTGTGAGCTGCTGATATTTGACTAACATCTTGTTTGTCTGCACTTGGCAAAGAGTAACCATTTTTGTATTTTGTTTGTTCTCCCCCCCACCCCCCCACAGGACAACAGACAGTTGTTGAATGAGAGGATTAAGCTGGAGGGCATAATGACCAGAGTGGAAACGTATCTCAACGAGAACTTACGGAAGCGTCTTGACCAAGTGGAGCAGGTACGCTGTCTCTTTAACTCTCTACCATAAACAAGTGTGGCTCTGCATACAGGATATTCTTTCTGCAGCGTATTGAGTAATGTATAACTGAAGTTGGGTTCTTTTCTGTTATTCCTTAAGTAAAATATACATTCTTGCATGCATACCCACCGACTTCAAGGTTTTTGTTTGCAGCTGTTAGCCGATTCAATGAATGTACTTGTAGGTGATGTAAATACAGAGTCCTGGATGTAAGTCTTTACTTCACACAGGTCAGAAGAGAGGTGTTGGAATGACCCTCTTTTTGTTGTGCATTGGAACAGGAGCTGAACGAGCTGCGAGAGACTGAGGGAGGCACCGTGCTCACAGCCACCACGTCTGAGCTGGACGGCATCAACAAACGTGTCAAAGAGACTCTGTCACGATCAGAAGGTGAGCATCGCACTAAAGATACAACACTGGGAGGGGGAGCGTAGCCTGATACTTAAAGAAACATTCGGTTAACGCGACCACTGCTCCCAAGCCCGGTTGTTGCCATTTTATTTTCTGTTAAATAATGAGTTAGATCCGAGTCTTCCTGACCGTTCACAGTGTGCCGCTGGTCCGGTGTAATTCAAATGTGCGGCCGCGCGCAGCACAGACACACAGCTGCTGCCCAGCCGCAGCACCGGAAATGGAACTGCTGGGAGAAAAACTGACTATCAGAGATGTAACGTTATCTTTGATAATATTTTCGTCTCCTCATTTTTCGTCAACGAAAGGAATGAGAGATTTTGGTATAGTTTTTATTTAGTAAACTACATTTTCGTCTCGTCACTTTTCGTCAGCGATATTGCATGTTGATTTCGTTACAGTTATTGTTTACTGCCGTCGGTGCCGTCTCGTCATCGTCTCGTTTTAGTCATGGAAAAAAAGGTCGTTGACGAACATATTTCGTCATAGTTTTAGTCAACGAAATTAACACTAGTCATTACTTGATAGCCATATGGAAGAGTGTATTTTTATAAACGAAACCAAGGTGCTCTATTGAGCCCAAAATAAGCTGTCATTGGGGAATTTAAATGTAAAAACTCGACGCTGTCTTTGGATGGCACAACCAGCAGATGGTGAGGTTTGCTGTGATGTGATGGACTAATGTGGATTCAAGCTTGGCTGATTGAATAAATGCTCTGCTGGTGCTGTGACTCAGATGAGGTTGATGGAAGGCAGTGATCATGTTTCATTACTGTTAATAACCAATTAAATACATATTCACAGCACGACCTCTTCTTAAGTAGGCTTTATTTTCAAGCCTTTGTTCAATGTTCCATGTATGATTCAGTGAGCAGTTTGCTCTCTTTTAAGAAAGTTAGCATCCACATTAGTAGGTTTTTGATTAACAATATACATTTGAATTGAGTTATCTTGGCTGCTGAATTAAAAATGGAACTCCGGCTTTTTCGTTCCTTGACAGTCAGTTTTGTTAAAGTTCCATTCAGTTGACTTTTTAAGAAAAAAAACTGTGGCTGAGCTAGCTTCTGTTTCTGCACTAATGCCTCATTTGTAATAAAACCAATCACTTCTGTTGCACTGCCTCATCCAATGTCTCTTCCCCAGATCTTGATCTTCTGATCGACAAGATCGAGGTCGAGATCAAGGACCACATAAGGAGCATGGAGCGCTGGAAGAACATCGAGAAGGAGCAGAATGACGCCATCAACAGCGACACCAAGGAGCTGGAGAAGATGACCAACAGGCAGGGCATGCTGCTCAAGAAGAAAGAGGAGTGCATGAAGAAGATCCGAGAGCTCGGCTCGCTGCCTCAGGAGGCCTTCGAGAAGTACCAGACCCTCACACTCAAACAGGTACACACACACACACACACACACACACTGTGGCTTTTAAGTTGTATTTATCAACCAGACCACATCATTCAGAACTGCGCTGCTGCAGTGTTTTAGTTTAAGGTGGATTTATATATTGCGGCAGATATTTTCTTTAAACTGACCTTTCAAGATGGGTGCAATCTTTTTTGCAGGCCTGTCTTACAACAAAAGTCAGGTGCTCAAATGAACATTTCATTAGGATTGACTTTGTTCTGTTTATTCTGACCTTGAATACAACCTTTTTGTAATGTGCTTTCAATGTAAGCCATGACATACGCAGTCCTCTTCCTCTGCAACAAGACATCCCACAGCTAATCTACAGATGATGACAAATCTGTTCCACACCGCATTTTACTGACTGTCCTTTACTTTATTTATTCTTAAACCTTTTATGCTCTTAACCTTTTATTTTTATTTTTTATATTGCCATATTTGATCCAATATGCTCTTTTAGATATCTTTTTTTTTCCTTATAGCTTTGTGAAGCACCTTGAGACGACGTTGTCTTTAAAGTGTGCTATATAAATCAAATGTATTATTATTATTATTACATCTCAAAAGGGAAACAAATCAGAAAATGTTATCTGTAAAGCACCGGGTCAGTGACGTTCAAATGGACAGATGACAAACCAAAAATAAAAACCAACGGGTGAAGAAACATGCTACGGAAACATTAAAAAAAAAAAAAGCAAAAATGGATTTGATAATTTTGGACCAATGTAATTAAATTAGTTTAAGTGTATAAGAAAAATAATCTTAATTATCTACGTTTCTTGCTGTTTTACTACAGTAACAAAAAGTAGAAAACAATTAACAACTTGAATAAAAAAACTGTATTTTGTCTAAACCGTTCTCAATTAGAAGCCTGTCTGAATCGGTAGGTTAACCTTTCAGGATGTCCGACCCCCCCAGCCCAATCAGAATCAGAATACACATTTGTTACAGCAGGAAAGAGACAAAGACAGCTTAATGTTAACTAAGAAGCATGCATACAACAAATATTAAAGATAAACACATTTAAGAAAGTTACACAAAATACGCAGTTCTGAAGATGTCACAATCTTCCATTATGTTCAAAACAAAACCATTTTAACACGTAAAAAAAAAATGCTTTGAACACTTTATGGCGCTAGAGAAGAAAACTTTTAGTGCCAGACATTTAGAAAGCCAGTCCCACACTCGTAGACTTCTCATGCACACTGAAGACATAATAATGGCAACACTAACAATAACCATGAAGATCTACTGAAGGTCAGTTTTCTTACTACCTGCAACCAGCCTGAGTGTGTGCATAACAGACACACACACACAAACACACACACACACACACACACAATCACCCACTCTCTCCCCTCCCCTCCCGCTCAGCAGTGACTCAGACACTAGTTAGTGCTCTGTCTCTGATTTATTTTCAGCCAGCTGCCTCTGGGAGACTGAGCTGAGGAGACTTGGCTGCATCTTTCATAAGTGTCTGAGTGTGTACATTGTGTGTGTCATCTCCCCTCCTTCACAATGCTGGAAATAGCCTCACACTTTCTCATGAACACTCCATATAATTAATCGCTCTTCACAGGACTCTGCTCCAAGGAAAGATGGTGCCTTTGATTGCACAAGTGGGCGAGGGGGCCAAGTAATAATGCCACTTGCCCGTGTTCCCTCGGCCATTAGTGGTTCAGACGGATGAATTTATAGTTGGAGAGTTTGTAGAGTGCGTGTCACTTTGGATCGAGGCTAAGCTGGCTCTTAATCAGGTCATGTCATCTTGAGATATGAAAAGAATCTGGCAGCATACTTTGAAACACTGAACTGAAACATGGATCTGAATTGATGTCCCTGTTAAAGTCAACAAGTGGTTTTCAATGGAGGCTCTTAGATATTTATATACGGCACTTTCTTTAGCTTTGTAAAGAGTTTCTCAGCTGATGATACACAGGTTTGATAGAAGAATTGTTTGCATGTTTTGGGCTGGAAAAATCTCAAATGAATTAAATCACCACAAGATTTTGTGGCAGTGCAAATATAAAAAGTGTCAAAATAATAATATATGAAATTAATTATGTTTTCAGAATCTTTAAACATGCATAACATTTTCTGAAACAAGTGTCTCACTGTATTTACTGTGTAGAATTTACTCACCAGAAAAAAATGAAACATTTTAAAAATATGCAATGCTCTGGACACAAGTTCATTTCCCCCAAAAAGTACAGCCGAGTCTGATTCACCCGTAAGTTATTGATGATTAATCTTTTCTTTCTTTCCTCCCCAACAGTTGTTCCGTAAACTGGAGCAGTGCAACACAGAGCTGAAGAAGTACAGCCACGTCAACAAGAAAGCTCTGGATCAGTTTGTGAACTTCTCTGAGCAGAAGGAAAAGCTCATCAAGCGCCAGGAGGAGTTGGACCGCGGTCACAAATCCATCATGGAGCTCATGAACGTCCTGGAGCTGCGCAAGTACGAGGCCATCCAGCTCACCTTCAAACAGGTGCGTGTCTGTTCAGAGTCCACTGACATCACATGTGCTCAATGCTTAGCAATGAAATATGAGCCTGGTTTGCAGAACCATGGTAGCCTGAGTGCCCTTTTGAATATGTTTAAATACATGCATGTTTTCTAACACCCTTGGTTGTAGCTGACATTGGCCCAATGACATAATATATCCAAGTCAATGCAATCCAGTGTATTTATAAAAGATGGCCCTTAGCGTTACGTTTTGCGATATCAGACTAATGAAAAAATATGAGTGGCTCAGTTTTGTTCTGCTTCAGGGATGCAGGTATTTATTGTATAACAGTAATACAGGCACAACTACAACTGTTATTTTTAGATCTGCATAGTATTAAAAGACTATCAATAATATATTGTTGTATAGGCCATACGCCTTTCGGAGATGGATTTAGATAAATAAAAAAACTGACATACAGTAATAGCATGAAAATAAAACACAGTACAATTCTAACAGTAACGGTACGTCCACACGGCGGCGTGCGTTGAAGCTTGCAGGCGGGCGTGTCTGAAGCTCGACCAACAACCAATCACATGAATCTCCCGCCCCGGACACACAAGCACGCGGTTTGATTGGCTAGAGCTTGTACTGGCATATGATTCGATTGGCTGACGCTTCTGTCGAAGCTTCAAAAGTAGAACATTGCTCTACTTTTGAAGCGATCAACGGAGGCAAAGCGAAGCGACGGAACCACAATGCAGTTCGGCAAAGCGTGACGTCACCCCACACTTTGAATGGGAAGAAGCGTTGAAGCTTCAAAGCACGCCGCCGTGTGGACGGGCCGTAAAGCTGTTCAAATGCAATGTCATCTAACTGCCGAACAAATATTCAATCCAATACATTAGTTCCCTCGAAATGTATTCTCCTATTTTTACTTTTAGAAATGATTTGTTATTGTCTCAGTCCAACAGTAGATGACTAATACTCACTTTGTTCCTCTTTTTGCCACGCTTTCTCTCCCTCAGGTGTCGAAGAACTTCAGTGAGGTTTTCCTGAAGCTGGTGCCCGGAGGCAAAGCCACGCTGGTGATGAAGAAGGGCGATGCTGAAGGCAGCCAGTCTCAGGACGAGGGTGAGGGCGGGGCAGACGGTGAGAAGGGCTCAGGCTCCCAGAGCAGCGTTCCTTCAGTGGACCAGTTCACCGGAGTGGGCATCAGGGTAACAGTCTCTTTCTGTTATATGTCATACACTTTGTCTGAATTTCTTTCCCCTTATTTTATGAAAAGTGATGAATATCAAAGGCTTTTATGACGATAACAATTTTTTAAAACTCACTATGTGTTGTTTTGTTTTATTACTTAAAGCCAGTGGTAACGTATTGTAAGTTGATAAGAAGATGCAGAAAGATGAGCATTTCTTGAGTTACTTATATTATAAAGGACCCACATTCAAACTGAGTCAGGGCAAGCAGTACAAGGATCTCACTGTACCCGTAGTGTATGAGGGTTTCCTTGACTTTTTGTCTGGGGAAAAAGGAATGTGCATTTCTACCAGGGACCAACCTGAAATCAGTCATGTAATGATTAATAGCCAATTCTTTTCACTCCAAATCCATCCGCATCATTTTAAAATCTCCCATAACCCCACATAAGCGTTCCTACCATCTGTCACATCATGTGTCTTATCAGAGAATTTAATAATAAGGAGACGATTAAGTGAAATGATCAAGTCTCTGCTTTTTCCTATTCTGGTCTAAAACATACCCCCCCCCCCCCCCCCCCCCCCCCCCCCTCCCCCGCCCGTTGCAGGTGTCATTCACAGGGAAGCAGGGGGAGATGAGAGAGATGCAGCAGCTGTCTGGAGGTCAGAAGTCTCTGGTGGCTCTGGCCCTGATCTTTGCCATCCAGAAGTGCGACCCCGCTCCCTTCTACCTGTTCGATGAGATCGACCAGGCCCTCGACGCCCAGCACAGGAAGGCTGTCTCAGGTAACGCGGAAGTATACAGAGAGAAGGAATTAAGTCAATCTCTTACATGTAGTTAATCCTGTCAAACCTCTGACGGCGTTGTAAACATGTGCTGAAGAGGGCAAAACCAGCTGAAACACTGCAGCTTAAAGCCTTGTTTACCTCCTCTATAAATCTTTTGTTTTGAGAACAAATTGTTCCGCCTCAGCTGCGTAAGCAACAGAGAGGGTGGGATGTGTATCTGTGTTGCACTGTTGTAGGTGGTGTGACTGGAAATGCATTGAACATGCTGTCCCATATGTCATGGTCTCAAACAGATGAGGCAATCATCACTCCCGTACTGTATTTTTTGTATGTGTTTTTTTATGTTTTTAAAGCTGTAACTTGCCTTTTGGAAATATCTTTTGTTCAGTTTTTGATATGCTCCTTATTGCTATACCAAAGATATTTGACCAGTGTGCTACCTTAGTCCCTGGCAAATTTGACCTTTGCGCTGGTTTTGACTAAATGGATCCCTATGCATTTCTGTCCACTGTATCAAATTCACACCTAACAGTAACGTCAGTGGCTTGATGTCATAGTGTCCGACCCATGTCAATTTGAAATGCATGGGTTCAGATTTGGTGATGTTGTATAGGATACATATTCTTAATTTAAAAGTTTGTTTTTTCACTGATGATCACAACAGATTATCATTGTTTCCCATTCTTTGTGTGAAAGCCTTAGCAAATATAAGAAAGTCCTCATCCCTCTTTTCTCTTTGTGATTGCCCGTCTGTTTCAGACATGATCGTGGAGCTGGCCGGCCACGCCCAGTTCATCACCACCACCTTCAGGCCCGAGCTGCTCGAGTCCGCTGACAAGTTCTACGGAGTCAAATTCAGAAACAAGGTGAGTCCACAAGAAAGAAATCCGGTTGTTGTTATCTTATCTGAAGAGGTTATGTAATATGTGTTTCTTTTTTTTTAACCAAATAGTCAGTCACTCAAATTAAACTTTATTTACATACAGATTTTACAATACATTTATACAATGCATCCAAAGTATATTTCCTGTAAATGTAGGTTGCAACGTTCTGTTGATTAACAACTTCCCTGTAGGCGAGGGTGGTTTTCTGCTTAGCTCCCTTGTTGAAAAGAAAAAATGTCCTCTTGAATTTCTGTTTAAAAACATAAAATATCACTGCTTAGTCAGAGTTGCTAAAGTGGATGTCTTGTTTCAGGGTTCTTACGGTCATTAAAAACCTGGAAAAGTCATGGAAATTCAAAATGCTAATTCCAGGCCCTGGAAAAGTTATGGGAAAACAATATTTTTCCCAAAGTTTTGGAAAAGTCATGGAAATGTAACTAAAGTTGCATCAAATATAATTTATATTTTATTTAATCGCCAAAATAGTAATACTATAATGATAATAAACACTGTATCGTATAGTAATGAAACGTAAATTAGCATTTAACTGACGAGGTATTTTGCTGGTGAGAGATTTTAGTTGCTTTAGCGTGTAGAAGCTAGTAAGCCTATTTGATTTGTTTTAGATAGGCACAAAATGTTTCATATGCAGACCTTATTTTCCTGTTCCATGTTCAAATAAACCATTTTCAGTGGTACCGCTGAGAAAGAGTAATGTTTTTGGTCATGGAAAATTAGGTAAAGGTCATGGAAAAGTCATTGAAAATCAGTTGTGAAAAAGTGTATGAACCCTGTTGTTTGGTCATTAACTGTGTGTGTGTTTTTTTAGGTGAGTCACATCGATGTGATCACAGCGGAGCAGGCCAAAGACTTTGTGGAGGATGACACCACCCATGGTTAAAAGCCCTCAACTCTTCCTCCTCCTCGGCCTCGACAGTGCACTGTGAAGCTTGAAGCCTTCAGAAATATCTTGCTCTATACACCAGCCTCTTTTTGGCTTTCTGTTAAAGACAAACAATGCAGCAAGTGTTATGCTTCTCTGACCATCCACCAAGACTGCAATAGGATTGGACATGTTTTGATAACATTCGGAATACCCCAGTTTCTTTTTTCATTCCAGGCTGATAAAACTACACATTTGATACAAATGTGGTTTCATTGTATAAACAAAAAAAGCATGCAGGGGCCACTGTTTTGTCCCATTCCCTGCATTGCTGTGCCTCTCGTGTAACAACCACACTCTATCTGACAACTGACAAAACTGTAGTTGTTAAACACTGAATAATGTTGTCTAAAGAGGTCCTTAAGAAAATGTTCTGGCAAAAAAGTCTTGAGCCGAGTTTTGGTAATCTGTTATTTGAAATGACAGAGACCCTCTAAAATGTCTTCATGACCTTTTCAGACAGCTTCTGTACAGTTCTTTTTTTTATATATACGACTTAGATGACGATTGTTAAAAGTGGAGATTGGAGGGTCTCGTAGTTCTCAGCTTTAGTTGTCACCCTGTTCACTCTGAGGTTTCTGTAATGTATACTCTTTATACTCCTGAAACAATGCTAACCTTTATTTGTCATAACCAGCCACACAGCTTCAAGTGTTTAAAGGTTGTGGTTCCTTTATGGTTGTTTCTGTAATGTGTTATTTCCTGTTTTTAGGTCATTTAAGTATATGAAAGGTTTAGTTCCAAACCACAGATATCCATTGTGGAATCAAACGCAGCTCCACAGTCGACAATTCAAAAGCAGAAGATATTCAGCGATGGTTCCATTTCTATTTGGGTCCTTGTTGTGCTTTTCTGGAATGCCAAGTTGTAATTTATCATTTTATTTCCTTACTGGATGAATTGTTTGGGATTAAACTCCTCATATGTTGCACCTAGTTTCAAATCTACTTTTTAGATGTTTTGGTTCATTTATATGTAACGAGAAAACTTACAAAAATAATAAAATATTTTAAAAATAAAACGATGTCATGTTTAATAAGGCCACTAAGAGGTGCTGTAACACTGTTAGTTGACCTCACATTGACCAATACATGTTTATACAGTGAGATAGAACAGGGAGTTTAAAGAAATGTATGATGCATTGTTCAAGGGGATTTTACAGAATTGTTTATTTTAATGTTAATCTAAGATGGTGTTGCTGATAGTAAGTTTTGAAAATGCACACAAATATGAATAAATCCTATTTAGGATCTAAGCCCAACGACAAAACACCAAATAACATGTTAAATAGAAACCTAACCTTATTGTCTTCATATCCCATAAAAAAAACCTACCTGGACATTATAAAATACAGTATATCTCACGGAAATTCAAACATAATAAAAATAGGACTATAGAATAGAAGTTATTTTACTTGATATTTTAAACGGCTATTCAAACCCTTACCCCGCTAATCTATCTGTCTACAAGTCTCATTTTCTTATAAGCAAATTTACAAAATGCAACACCAACCTTACGGTCATCATGGTCTACATTTAGGGTGACCAGATGTCCCGCTTTGCACGGGACTGCACAGCATTTTCACGACTTTTGGTGCGTCCCGCAAATTGAGACGATGTCCCGCATATTTCATTTTGATTGGCCAAAACGCTTTTCTGCGGAGAAAGGCCGGCTCGGTTCGCTGACGGCCGGCACCGCCCATTATTATATGTTTTAAACGGCATTATGTAAGTTGCGCTGACAGGCGACAGAGGTCCACAGTGTACCCAACCCCCCCCCCGTTGACAGTTCATGCGTCAACATCACATTTACATGTCCCACATTGTCCCACACAAACATACTCTCTGTCCCACTTGTGGCTTTCTGGCACCTGGTCACCCTATCTACATTAGATTGTATGGACTACAATATTTCACAAACGTTTAAAGATTGAAAACTAGAACGATATGTAATGATTTTGCTTTGTGTATTTTTTGTTGTCTAAATTGTATTGTATTCTGTTTCAAAGCTGTCTCTCTCTCTCTAGCCATGCAGAGTTATATGGAATTAGTTTTGTGTCATTAAGATAAAGCAACACTTTATCAGTATGAAAGCGGCACCCCTGCGGCACGCGCACGGAATTCTCGCGGTAGGCGTGCAGCAGTCTCGCTGAAGTTCTTATTTTTTTAACTTAGACTTTGTGGTCTGACCTAAATCTAATGTTTGTTGGCTTTTTATTGATTTATCTTTTTTTTAAATACACGGACAGGCAGCTATACATCTATTTTATCAGCAAAATATCAAATTTAAAATGCCTAACCTTTCTACCCTTCTAAAACGATTTCTTTTTTGCTTATCTTTGCTTTTTATTCTACTTACGTGCACAGCTCCCTAACTATCTTATACATACCTAAACATTTGAAGAATAATGCTCCCTCAAACTCTACGGTCCTTTGACACACTCTAGTGGTGTTATTTAAAGATGGACATGAGTTCTTTTTTAAATCCCTTAGTGAACAAAGTAGAAAACTGCCAACAATGCTTGAGGAGAGCTTTCATTTAAAGTCGGAAAGATAATTTATCGACTTCTTCCATACAGCATGTATCAAATATTTTATCTCTTCTTTTGTTGAGATAGAACTACAGACATAACATACTGGCCGTTTCTCAATGTCGAGTAAACCTGCTGCAGAGCCACTATTTCAAGTATACTACGTAATCGAGTTTAAATGCATGTTAAATGCCCAGCATTCGGCACCACTCGATGACGTAGTATACTTGAAATAGTGGCTCTGCAGCAGGTATACTCGACATTGAGAAACGGCCATTGTGTTGCTAGAGTGGCCATCATCCCACTGCCTTCTAGTCCCCGCCTCCATCCGAACCACTGTTCGAAATGGGGGGGAGCCAGGAGGAGCTTGGCTCCCCTAAAGAGGGGGGGAGCTACCCTGAAGGCCGACTTTGAGATAAATAGGGGGAGCCCAAAATTTGTTTGCATATTTGTGTCACACAGATTAGAAATGTTGAGTTCCTGTAAATAAAAGTTCTTGAAATAAATAATAGTCATTGGCGCAGCTCTTGGATTCACAAGCAAAGAAGCGGAGGAGTCTAAAAATGACAACGTGAACGGAACAACTTTTAGTTGGCCGGCTGTAAGCGGCGTTAGGGTCGAGTTTGACAGCTCCACACGAGGGCTCTGAAAAAAAAAATAGGGCTCCCCCGAAAGCAAATGGGTAATTCGAACACTGATCCGAACCATCATCTAGCCACCATCATCAGAGTGCATTCAAAAAGAGACAGAGGAGACAGTGGGTGTTTCTCAATGTCAAGGAAGGATGCTCCAGAGCCACTATTTCAAGGGAAGATTTTTTTTTAAATGTTGAAGTTAAAAGCATCAATCTGGTGCACTTTGAGAGCAACATTAGGAGATATATGGATACATCTCTCAACATCCATATGAAACAGAACTGTAAGCAGATTTTATTTTTCTTTATGGATATTTTACAAATCACTCTCCTTTTAAACCGTATTCTTGTTTATTAATAACAACTTCTTTTTACTGTCATATAGTATTTTATACCTGTTTACTTTATTCTCTTATTTTTTTATAACTATAATGATCATATAAAGATGTGCCTTTACGGTAAATAATGTAAGAAGCTTTTTCTCCCTCACTGGTTGGAGAAAAAGCTTCTTATATTAGTTAGCATAGCTAGCTAACCAGATGCTAATAACAACAAAGTTATTGACTGTATGATCAGTATGACAGATGAACAGATCGCCACTGGGCTTTCAACTAAAGACACAGCCACGCAAAAACTGCGGCATGTGTACGGCTCCTTATGGGTACTGCAGTTTGTGAAGTGTTGGAGCGGCGTTCTGGTGCTCTCCGTCAGAACTACACCCCTGTCAGACGAGACATATACCACGTGATGACCCTGACCTTGGCCAGGAAAAACAGGCACTCGCTTGTTTAATTATTTTGCGGTCTAGATTTCTTTAATTTTTTTCTTTTTTGCGTGTGTTTATAAATTACCTCGAGGGCCGTACCAAATGGTCTCGCGGTCCGTATACGGCCCGGAGGCCGGAGGTTCCCCACCCCTGCACTATAGGTTTAACATCTGCTTATGTGAGTTGGATTGTCAATTGTTTTCTTATTTTTAAATGCTGACACCTCTTCTCTTTTCGCCCATAAATTATTTCCTCCACAATCTAATCCACGCTTTCCTGCTTGGCATTCCATCTCCCCAAAAACAATAAACAACATATTTTATCAACCATCCACTTGCCCCTCTGCCCTCTGATATCAGGATGTGGAGTGCAGTTATGAACAGATGACGCTAGCTCACATATTCAAGGTCCTTATCATAAAAACATGCATAAAGCTGTCGTGGTTTTTACAACCAACAAGTTAATTTGTTGTCCAACAGGTGTGTATTTACTGCTTTGGAAAGTTGGAGGAGGAGGAGGAGGAGTGGGGAACCCATGAACAGACTGTCTCTGTCCTTGCACTTCATGGTGGTCCATCTGCCTGCAGGCCTTACAAGCTGACTGACTATCTCTCTGCTGCTCCAAAGTCATCTCCATGTCCGTCTGGTTTATCTGCGTGTCAGACTATAAGTCTGTGTGTCATCTGTCAGCTTGTCTCACTGCCTATCACAGACATGTGATTCTGGTCTGAGTGGAATTCCCTATATAAACACTTTACTGTCCCAAAGCTGGAGCTGGCTCCGGAAAGGTGATGACAGATGAGTTGCAGGCGGCAAGGCAAATAATCACTGATGCGTTGTGGTTTCATAGGCATCTCTCTGGAAAAATGATCTCCTTCATTAACTTAAATCATGTCATTCATTAAGTTAACACTAACCTTAATGAATGATTAAGTTACCCCCACTCCAAGTTACAAATAAAGGGTTCTATACCTTAGCAATATTCTTTTTTTCCTGATATGTTTATGCTAACTAACAATTCTCTCTTATAATAGTGTACCTAACCAACCCAACCAAAGAGCCCAATCAAACGCAGAGTAGGCCCGTCATGACTTCGCATTGTCGTATTCATAATTGTATTGGCGCCCACTTTTG